ATGTATATTTAATTGAAAAAAATTTATCAGTTTCTAAATTATTGTAAAGTTATAATGATTCATATTCTAATGGAGTAAAATTGGGTAGAGTATATGAAAGAATAAATCATAATAGAAGTACATTAAAATGAGTTGGGAATGCTTTTGGACTTAATAATGAACCAGTTAATGCTTATTGTGGATTTTATAATTATAATAAAGCTGCATAAATGCTAACCTTATTGTTTATAATGCTAACAATTATCTAAAGGAAAATCTAGCCTGTATTAATCTTAATGACAATAAATGTTGATTAACAGTAATTATATTAGATATTTTTAAGAATTTGAAATAAAAATTTCAATCTTTTTTAATTAATATTAACAAAAGTATTAATAAAATCATTAAATTCATTAGAGAAAAGGAAAAAAAATAGTCTATTATTATTAAAAGAGCAATTTATTTGAGTTTTTTTACTTCTTGTTTTAAAGTGTGCAGATTCATCAAGATCTTATTCTTCACTTTCAATAATTTATGATAATGGTTTTGCATTAGAATCAAATTTAGATATTTATTCCAAATCATTAGTTATTTTGATTACAAAGTCTTAATAATCTAATTATCTTTATTTATTAATATAAATACTTGATTAATTTAACAATATTAGTGTATTTTTATATTAGTTTAAGTATCTTCATCTTTCTAAACGCATTAACTTCTCTACTCTTATCATGCTGAGAAACCCAAGGCATCTTTTGCTAATTTTTGGTTGTTCTCAAGCATCATCTAAGACTTGAATATTTAGTTATTTATTGGTTTCACCAATTGTTTACAGTTATTTGATGAATCATTATATGAATTTAAATAATTTAATAAATGTAATAAGTCACTAGAATAAATGTCCACTTCCTTTTATTATTCAGGAAAATTGAAGATAGTATTTTAAAATCAAAATCAACTTCTAAAATCCTAAAAATAATTTAAATCTATTCCTTTCCTCCCAATACTATCTCACTTACCCTCAACTTGAATTTCCTCTTCTCCAAAGTTATTTATTGTACTTCTACTTCTATCAACAAATCTCAAGGTTCTTCTTAGTATTAACTATGATATAGATAATATCTTTAATAAATACACAATATTAGTAAATGCATAACCATATTTTGACTAAATCTTAAAATTGATTCAAACATAATAACAAGTATATATATTGTTTCTTCACTTTAATGACTATCTCTAAATTAACCAGCTCTTAAAACTAAATCTATTTATTTACTTTTAATAATATGATATCTTTTTGATCTATCGAAATTGATTTAAGTTTATTAATGATGTTATTAGAAATGAAATAAAATTTTTATTAAATCTTATAATAATAGATTATAATACTCATAATTCTCTGCACTTTCTTATTTGTATTTCTTTTGATTCCTTATCCCTAGTGATCAAATACTCTCCGTCGTTACTTAATTATCCATAAATAAGATGAGTATTAAACTCAATGGACTATAAAATTATGAAGTCCCCATTTTATTTCTTCCTAATTAAATTAACATTCCTGCCATTCTTATTCACAAGGAGGCATTTTGACTATAAGTATTATTATGGAAATACACAAACATCATCAATCGAACCACACTTTACACCAATTTTCTTAATCTTTCTATACTATTTAGTATTTATATCTATCTCATATAGATGCATTTAATCTTTGCATTTAGGTTAAAATGCAAATTAATCATCATTAATAAAACATAACCTTAATCCAAATTAATCTACTTGTATCTTTTGTGTAACAAACCACTATTTATTCAACTCTTACTATTCTATTATTAATATTTATTAATCCTCCGAGCAAGATATCAATTTATTTTATCGTTCATTTAAACTTAATGAAGACACATAATCAGTATGATCTTCTATGGTTTATTAACACAACTTTTAATCCTTTTTCATCCAAAATTTTATTGTAGTATCTCTACTACCTGAGATAATTAGATTATTAGCGTTGTTCAGCAGTAAACAAAATATCTCATTTGAATGTTCATTCAATTTTTATGAGCATTTCCATTAATAATTTCCAGTCGCTTACCATATTATAATTTAATTATCTCCACTTCCAGATACAAAATTATTTGTATTTTTCATGAAATTTAAAGTATAGACATCTTTTGTATGCTCGCTTAACAATTATATTTAATTTAGTTTCCCTCTTATATGTTGAAATACTTTGATATCCTTATCACATCCAGCTAACAGGATTGACTAATCTGTATTGGAAGCAATAGCATAACACCCTTCTTTACTTAACTGAATTTTCCTTTATGAGGTCAAAGGTTAATGGATTTAGATTTGATTCTTATATAAACTGATACTTCGGTTATTCTAATATTTATTTATCAACAATGCTATTTGTAATTTATTAATTATCTATTTACTTTATATTTTTTTGATTCTTTCTTTTTTTCAATATTGCATTTATAATCAATTTTATTTGTTCTATTGTTTGTTTAAGCTATTTAAATAAAGTTTCTTCACAATCCTCTATTTAACATATATCATTAATTAATTAATCAATTTGAGAAATTCCAAATCTGAGAATGGTAACATATTAATTTTAAAATAAGGAAGGTATACATTTATTAGATTATCAAGAGCAATTTCACACTCTTAAGCATTCTTTTAAACATTTTAAATCGTAAGAATTCTTTCCTTCATCCAATCTGATAATAGCTCCTAAGATATTAACTTGTTAAGATGTTGATCATGGCGAGGCAAACAAACTTGACAATAAGGTCTTTCATTTTGACATTTATTATCTATACAAAACCCTATTATTTATTGATTTAGATGATCAACTTAAGGACATCTAATCATTTTCTATTTCTATTAAAATTTATATTAAAATATTTTGAAATTATTTAAATAAGAAGCTCTAATCTAATATAGACTAAAATAAAGTCTTTAAAACGAAAGTTTATTTGATCAGATTAGAAATTATATATAATTAAAACTGGAATAGTAACATAATAAAAAGAGCAATTAAGCTTTGAATTTTATTAAATATAATATGGATGATTTAATTTTAAAGCATTATTCTTAATTCATCACACTTTAATTAGTCTGTATCAATCTACTTAAATTTTATCATTTATTTTAATGCAAAAAATCTTTTTTAACATTTTACCTTCCAAATTCTTCCAAAACTACCATCTTTCATTGTATTTAGTAATTTATATTATGATAATAAAGGGGCTTAAAATAAAATCATTACTTTCTATATAATTCTGATTCAGATAGACTTACCTCTTCACTTGAACGATTTCAAATTTATTTAATATATTATATTAATTAACGATAAATATTGTTATTCGAGTTATTTCTTATATTAATAAATTAATTTAAACTAAATGTAATTTAAATTATTTAAAATTTTATTTATTATAATTATTCTAGCAAATTATTAATTTATAATAAATTTAAAGAAAAAGGCTATTTTTAAAGGATTATAATATTGTAGATTACATATTATTAATAACATTATTTATCTTAATGTTTTACTATTAAATTATTTTCATTTCTACTTATGTAGATAAAAGAATGACTTGCTTTCGATTTCCTAGCATATCTATATCTGCTATGTCTTATATAAATAACATTTTCATTTATTTGTTTTCCTAATCTTAAATTATTTCATTTTATTTTT